ACAGCCAGAGCCACAGGCAGGATGTTCTGCACGAACCCTAGCGACACCTTAAATGGAATCACCTTCAGCACAGATCAGTCCTTGCTTTTGCTGTTCCCCTCCCTATTTTCACCCTCCTCGGTTTACCAGCCACCTGCCAACCATCCAAACCCACCCTGTGTCCGTGAGCAAGTGGCTGAGGAAAGGAAATTCCACGAAAGTCACACAAACATCCCGGCGACAGAACACGCGGCTCCCCAGGGCCTGGCTGGGACGAACTGTGCAGCAGCAAGGCAGAGCTCACAGCAGCTGCACCACGGCAAAAGTGTAGGAAGCAAAATGTTCCAGGAAGCAGGAGCGGCACCGAGGTGCCCAGCACAGGCACAGGCGAGCGGGGATACTCGGAAAAGGACAATTACATCAGAACATGAGTTTGGTTTCTGAGTGCGCTGCGGAGCTGGGAAGGATCATCCCCCCGGGGCCGGGCTGGTTCACGGCTGGGTCCTGCGGGTCTGAGCGGTGAAACAGGACTGGAAGGGCCATTTGTGTCCTTCCCACCCGGCACATGCACCCCTGCAGCTGTCCCAGCCACGGAGAGGGGCACATCCCACATCAGCTCCTCATCAGATGCTTCACATCCCACCACGGGCTCAGCCCCACTGCAGCAGCACACAGCATTCCCAGGCTCTGAGCAACCCCGCTCATGGAACCGAGCCCGGCTGTCCTGGCTCCCCAATTCCTGCTTTTCTCCCCCAGGACTGTTCCCTGGCCAGGGCCCCTCTCCCTGGGGGCTGTACTGCAAGCTGGTGTCCAGCTCCTTATCCTGCTTCCACAGAACCAGCGTGGGCTGTGCATTTCCCAGCAGCTGCTGGTGAGCAACGGGACTTGTGGGACCCCAAATCCTGCCCTGGCTGCTCCACTGGGATTGGAAAGGGAGTGAATGGCCAGAGGAAGAGGGGAGCAGCTGGGTAGGGAAGGGAGGCTTTAGCTATAGTTCTTGCTTGTCCCCCTGAGGAAAAGCATCTGATTAAATCAAGATGCAGCATCCAGGGTTGCTATTCATTCCCTATATTATTAGCTTGTCTCATTTTATTAAATCTCTTTAAGGCTTTTCAGAAGAAGCACATAATTCCCAAAATATAATTTTTCCCAGATGAGATATGATGCAGAAGCTGCTTCTTCTCTGGGGACTGGGGGGTGGCTTTATTTGTTTCCCTCCCCCACCCCTTGCTTTTTTAGCAACACTTTTCATGTCTCTTGGTTCCTTTTAGCACTTGGGATTTGATTAACAGAGAATCTGAAAGCCTGAGATGTCCCAAATCCCCAGTTCCTGGAGTTATCCAGGCAAGGAGTGGCAAGAGGTCCCTCGAGACACCATCCCTGTGCTCAGCACGATGCAGCTCTGAGCCAGGAGCATCCTGGAAATCCTCTGCTCCCAGTTTCCACCTCCTTTCATCCCATCCTTTTGCCCACAGGTCATGCAACAACCTGCCAGCATGAACAAAGGTGTTTCCATGTCCTGGATGTGTCCTCCCACTCCAGCACCTTCTGCTCCCTTCCAAGGAGCAGAGTTTCCTTCAGCTTCTCTGGGATTAGAGGGAAATGTCACCTGTAAGCAGAGAGAGGCACCAGCTGGGCTGGGAATACGAAGCACAGGGGAGAGGGAGGTTTGCTGACCCCAGTGGATGCATTGCTGCGGATTTCAGGCAGGTTCCCATGGAAATAGCGATGCTTGGCAGGGCTGGCAGGACAGAAATGAGAGCCCAGGAGGAGGCAGGGAGCCGGGTGGGCAGTGCCAGGCAGGGGCTGGCAGAGGAAGGAGCAGTGCTGAGGACTCGGAGCCCGGAGATGTTTCCTGCCAGCTCCCACATCTGCTCCTGAGGGTCTGCAGGGGCTGAGGCCGGAGCAGGGGTGGAGAGGCTGGAATTTGGGGAGTTGAGCCGGACAAAGGCTGAGCCCGTGGCCAAATCCAGGAGCCTGGAGGCTCCCAGCCCAGCAGGCAGAGCCTGGCCCTGATGTCTTCCTGGGGCTCTGATGGCTCTGAGCCCTCCTGCGCCCCTGACTGGGAAAGGAGCTGTGCTCCATAAACAGCTCCTCCCGAAGAAAATGCAACATGGAAAAAGCAGCACATTCCTACCATTTTTTTTCCCCTTTGAAACAGGATCCAAGGAGGATACGGCTCACCGGGCTGTCTCGGGGTGGATTTGGAGTGTGAAAATTAAAGAAAACAGCCTGGTAACTTGTCCTCTGCCTCATGGCGGGGGCTCCGTGCGTAAGGGCCCCCGGAGTGAGGCTGGAAATGGGCTGGGTTGGCTTGGATGGAGCCTTCTCCACCCTGTCCCTGAGGGGGGTGATGCCTGGGGCAGGGGGACAATGGCCTTGGGGTGCTGCTGCTGCTCTCTCAGCACTGGGGGAGATTTCAAAGCATTCCCTGGACACCAGTGGGTTGGGAACTGCCTGTGTCCCAGATCCCTGAGCATGGACCCGCCAGCAGAGCCCATGCAGCTCAGCCCTGGCATCCCCATCCTGCCCTAGGAATTTGTTTGGGCTCCAGCACTGGGGGTTTCCCCCATGGGAATAGTTTCCCACCAGAGTGTTCTCCCCATTGCTTTGTGAGCATTTAAAGTCCAGATTGTTTTCCCTATACAGCAGGGATACAACAGGCTGGTTTATTCCCCTATAAATCTAAATTCTGTCACGTCCCCTGTCCACCTTCTTTGGATTAAGGGATCCCAAATAAAGCAGTGCCCAAACTGCCCCCAAACCTCAAAGTTCATCTTTGCTTTTACATCAAATCCCAACCACTGGCAAAAAAGGTTCTGCCTCAGAGTTGGGATGGGTTTGGAGCCCTCACCAGAGCCATGAGCCCCTCATCTCCTGCCACCTTCCCAACCAGCCCGAGTGCAGACTCAGCACCAGGAGCGGGGTGGGAACGGTGAATTCCCAGTGCTGCCAGTGCCACATGTGCCACCCTGATTGTGCCACGTGTTCGTTCTGTGCTTGTTTGCCACGGTGTTTATTCTGTGTTTGTTTGCCACCCGATGGCCATCCCTGCCCTGGGGCAAGGCAGAGCAGCTTCCCTGGCAAAAGCAAACAGGGGCACAGGGTTACAGGCGGTCACAACGGAGAGAAAGGACTTTGGGAATGTGTCCCTGCTCCTGGATGTCACCACCATCAGGGAAAGGACCACAGGATGCAGCCTCCACCTCCTGAAGCGTTCCTGGATGAAGCATCCCGTGGAGCTGACCCCTCATCCCCACTGCTGGGGTGTTTATTGATCCTCTCATCCCAAGGAATTGCCACGTGCAGCTCCATGGAAGGGAGATGGGTGTGGGGGAGCCACGCAAGCGACCATGAGGAGAAATCCTCCATGAGGGTGGGCACAGAGCTTTTCTGATGGGATGGGGAGAGCTGAGGCAGCACAGAGTGATGCCCTGGGTGACCCAGCTGTCCCTGCCAGGTAGGAGTTGACATTTAACTAGTTTCTCCTTTCCTGGTGTTTGCTCTGGAGAAATATCCCAAACTTCAAAGGAAGTGTTATCTGCGGTGTTAGCACACGGCATCACGTGAAGCAATTCCCAAGGCCACAAACAACCTCCCAGCCAAGCTCCAGTGGGCCCAGAAAGCCCCATGCTGGATTTTGAAGGCATGAAGGTATGAAAATGGCCCCATGACCCCATTTCCAGGGACTCCATTTGGTCTTTGACATCTTTGCATGAGCTGGATGCTCCTGCCTGTGGCACTGCAGAGCTGGGGCTGCATCCAGCTGGTGCTGGGGGTCCCACAGTGCAGCTCTGTCCTCTGGAAGCAGCAGGACTCATGTTCTGATCCTGGCCACGAGATCCACCCTGCATCCATGCAGGATGTGTCCCAGATGCAGCCGGGAAGAGGGAAAAGAGCTGTGACAGCACCAGCACTTCGTGCTCAGCCTGAAGGTTTCACCCCCTCCCTGTGTAACTTCCAATTCTTGGAAATATTAGGCAATTGGAGAGGAATCACATTTTTTTTTCCTTATAACCAAGGAGAGTCCCCTAATTTATTGTTGCTAAATACCATAAAACAACATAAATAATGGTGTCTCTGTGTTTCCCTCCCTGCAGCCCCAGAGAGCAGCACAGCAACACCTGGGACTGGCCCTGGCCAAGGCCTGCCCCTGCCCCAGGGAGAAAGGTGGGCTCAGAGCCCATGAAATGGGCTGAAACATCAACTTCCAGCTCCTCACCTTCCCTCTTCTAAACAGAGCAGGGGCCTCTGAAACATCAAACTCCAACTTTATGGCAGCCAAAGCCATTTGTGTGAAGGCAGAGATGTTTAATCCATGCTGGCTGCTGTGGGAAGAGCTACAAACACCAGGGGTGTGTCTGGCATAGCCCCCAAAAAAACCCATGTGCTGGAAATGGCAGATCAAGGGGGAAGGAGTGTGTGAAGGTCCCAGCACAGCACCAAATCCCTGTGCTGATGGGGTGCTGTGGGCATGGGATGGGAAGCAGCTCCACCACTGGGGTTTGTGGTGACAGACACACATTCCAGGAGTCTGGTATTGGCTGGGGAGGGGAATTGGGGTATTGGCCTTGCAGAAGGGACTGGGAAAGGCACACACGGTCCTCAGAATCAGACAGCACAAATACAGCCCTCGCTGCGCTCTCATTAGGAATAATTCTTCCCGTATGAGCACGTGCTTCTTCAGCAAATACTGATTTCACTTATCAACAAATCCAAGTTTATTGACATCAGAGACTTTGAGCCAGGACTGGCAACTCTGACATAAATTGTCTGAATAATGCAATGTATCCTCTCCTCGATGGTTGCTATGGGTACTGGGCCAGTTTAGCCTCCCTCTATAAACATTAGCTGTGAAGGGAATGTGGAAACTTATCTAAAAATAAAATACTATGCCCAAATCTTTGAGAGGAAGGTGGTTGAGATGGCAATAAAAAAATAAATCTATGTGTAATGGTTCTGAAGTGATGAAACACAAACACAGCATTTGTGAGCCCTTCCGGAGGAAATGGAGTCTGGACTGAAAAGAGACCAACACTTTTAATTCTGCTGAGTGGGTTAATTACAAGGTGGGAAAGCAAAAGGAAATGGAACTGTTTCATGGAGGTGACACTGAGAAGAGGGAGAACCCTCTGTGGAGGGGACAGTGTGATGCTGAGATGTGGTGCCACGTTCCAGTGGAGCTGGCAGCAGCACAGCTCCAGCTCCAGCACCTGCTCCTCTGCTCATTCACACTTTATTTCTCAAACCGTTCTGGGAATCTGTGAAAACAGAGCCTGGGGCTGGAGCACCACCTCTGGAATCTTTCTGTTCAAGGCAGGATTCAGAACTGGACAATTTTGGGACAGGCTGGTGGCAGGGGCGGAGGGGCACATCCGTACCTGGCTGCTGCACGGTGTGGAAGGCAGAAACAAACCCTGCCCTCTCCTCCCTCCCTCCCACTGCCCCTGCAGGACCGTGGAAAACAGCTGGAAGGCACTGGGTGGTGGGAAAGGCAGCAGGACCCTCATGTGGACCCAGGGAAAAGGAGGGGCTGTGGCACCAACACGGCCAGGGGTGGGATATCTGTGAAGTGCAGACAGGGACTGACTCTTCCCCTGGATCTTCTCCATGCTGGGGCTTCCCCACAGGACAGCTGCCACCCCTCCGTGCCACTGGGATGTGCTTTAGGTCACACATTCTCACTCCTGTGCTTTTCAGTCACTTAGAGCCTCTGCAATAGTGTGGAGATGCTGCAGGGCTCTGCGCGGGTGGGAAATGCAGCTCTGGATGGGGACGTTCCTTTCCCAAAAAAAGAAGGGGCTGGTTTTTGGGTTTGCAGCAGGTTTTGCTGTTGTTCAGCTCACAGCAGTTTCCCCCTGTTCCTTCCCCATCTGTGTTTGAATCCTCAGGGGCTCCTGAGCTCTCTCCATTGCTGGACCTGAGCTTTGTCTGCTTCTCGTGGCTCTGTGGCAGCACCTTCAGAAGATCTTCAGGATCAGCTGGAGCTGGTGCTTCCATATGCCCAGAGCCCACTTATGAAAGCCCCCCTGTGTTTCCATCATTACTCTGCTTTCCCTCCAGTCCAAAGGGAATTCATTTTTGCCTGTAGATCTCCAGTAATCCGTGTGGGAGAAGAGGTGGGCAGGTCCCATGCTGTGGAACTCCCAGGAGAGCATCAGGAGCTGCAGGACCTGGACAGAGCCCTGGGGACAGGGACCTCCATCTCCCACAGGCTGTGGCAAGGAGCTGCCACCACGCTCAGGCTGTTCCTCTGGTCACTTCCAGTGCTGCAGGGAGCTCAGTCGGCTCATTAAGGGTTGCTGGGTTAATTAGTAGGATACATCTCAGGAAAATGGGCAAATCAGACAGTGTGGGGACCGGAGAGGCACGAGGTACCCCAGAGAGTGCCCTGCAAAAGGCAAAGAGACACGAGTCCATTGGGGACCTCACTGGTGCCACAGCAGCTCTGTCACAGCAGCACAGTGCTGCCAAAACCTCAGCAGTGCCACGGGACTGTCCCAGCTCTCCAAAAACCAGCAGGCAAATGCACTGGGGGTTCCAAGACAGCAATGAACCCCCAGGAAAAGAGCCTGGCCAGGAGCTTGTGCTGTTGGAGAAGCTTTTGGTCCCCCAAACAAGCCTGGGCTGAGGTTTTAGGGTGAGCCCACTGGCAGAAATGTCCCTGGCTCAGGCAAGGAGCAGCTGGAGCAGGGAGGCCTGATTTCCCTGAGGGATGAGCAGGCACACATGCCCTCTCCCACCATCCCTGCCACTCTCTGGAGCACCTGCCATGGCCAATAGCTGTATTTTTCTGCCTGATTCAGATTAAGCCTGGAGCCTCGAAGCTTCCCAGCAATTTTCCCTCGCACTGATTCTCAAGTGTATAATCAAAACAATTTGGGGGCTGCTGGTCGGGTGCCAAGAGGCGGACACGACTGCTGCTGTGAAAAGCCTCTCTGCCTGGGATTTTGCAGAGGCTTGAAGCTCAAATGCTTTGAGAAGTGTGGGAAGGGCTCTGGAGGAGCCAGGGAAGGCAGGACTGGGCTGGGTTGCTCGTTGGTGGGGGAGCCCAGCAAAGCAGCCCCGAAATGCTCCCATCAGCAAACGTACCTGGGGCTACTTGCCCTTCACTCCCTTCTGCTTCCTCCGATAGATTTCCTCTGTGAAAGGCCTGTAGTTGGGAGGATGGGAATTTGCGGGGAGAGAGGGCAGGGACAAAAGAGAGGGGCAAAAGAAGGGAGGAAGAATTAAAATCAAGGCTACTGAGTGCTCACCTTTGGGCCTGCAAAATGTGTCCTTCCCTGGCTGGCACAGCCTGACTACTCCTGTGCCGTGGCAATCCTGGTTTCAGCCTCTCTGGATTGTGGAGCACAGGACCATCCCTGTGCTGAGCAGGACAAGGCTCAGCACACACCCAGACCCCCCACTCCTGCAGACCATGGCTCTCTGCATCTCCTCCTCCCTTGCAAATACAAAAGACCTTTCACTGCTGAAGTACCAGGGCTACTTCTGGGAGTTATTTTGTGCTGCTCCCTCCTGTGCTGCTGGCTGGGCTATTGTGGTGCAAAACAGCAGAGAAGCCCATCCAAGGAACTACAAAATGCAAGTGCTTCTTGTAGGGAGCTCTTCTGGAGACACAATGAGTCCCCTCACTGCCTTCCTTATTGTTCTTCTATAGGCAGAATCTGGCACCCAAAAGGAAAAAAAGCCCTCATTTTGATAAAAATTAAAAAAACCTGCACAAATGTTCCTAGAACTCTGCAAATAGCTTAAGAGTGGAATCTGCCCATTATCAAAACAATTGAAAAAAAAATCCTCTGTTTTCCTTCTTCCCCACTGAATTAATTGGGAAAAAACCCATCTCTACTTGTGCAGTTCTCTGAAACCTCAAGAGTTAAAGCTGGTAGAAATAATTAGAAGCTCTCCAGCTCTGCACAGCTACTCACCCCTCATACAGCACAGCGATTGTGTAGGAAATTGCCACTACAGCTGTCAGCAAAAGGCCAGCTGGGCTGGCGTGCCTGTTTTGAAAGAGAAGGAAAAGATCAGGTAAGTACATGGGCTTATGCAAGACCTGGTTGAGAAAGTGAAATGAGACACTGGGCTGCAGAGAGCTCCTGCTTGCTCATTAAACAGAAGCAAACAAAAGGGTTGGGGTTTTTTTTTGTGCTTAATGTTAACTGTCTTAGACAGATGTTACTTGGCAAAGGCTCTTCCCCAGCCTACTTCAGCGACTGCTTTTAAGTCTGATCCCTGCACGTCTCTGCTATGAGAGCTCCTGCTTTGATGCTAAATCCTGAGATGATGGGGATGTTTAAGGGCTGAGCAGCTGCTGACACACGGCTGCAGCTCCCAGCTCTGAGGGGAATGCCTGATGTCCCAAAAAGGTGGGCCACCCAGGGTACAGGGGACACCAGGCAGCCAGAGCAGTGTGTGGCATCGTAGACATCCAAGTGGTGGCACAGCCAGTGCAGGGATGGGGATGGAACGGGATGGGAAGGTCCATTCCTGCCCTGGGAAGGGTGCTGGGGTGGGTGCTGCACTGGGGCTGGGTGCTGGGGGCTTGGTTCACTTTTCAACCCATTTCAAGGTGTTTCAGGAATGTGTCCTCCAGCCAAATGTCACCAGGCACAGCCCAGGGCACCGATGCCACCATTGCTCCTCACTGGCTGTTTATGGGGAGAGACAGCCAAGAACTGAGGGTGCAATGGAGATGGCTGCTCCTTCTAGCAGAGGCCATAGCTTTGGGACCAAAAATCCTCGTCACCTCCTTCTCTGGAGAGAGATGTCATAGAATTGTAGAATCAGGGAATGGTTTTGACTGGAAAGGATCTCAAACCTCATCTCATCCCACCTTGCCGTGGGCAAGGACATCTTCCACAATCCCAGCCTGCTCCAAACCTTGTCCAGCCTGGCCTTGCACATTTCCCCACCAAGGACCAGCTAAATACTTTATTTGCTGACAGCCAGCTCTCATCCCTCTCAGAGCTGCCACCAGCAGTTAAAGGCAATCACCTAAATCAGGGGACAATTAAGATAAACTTTAAAGTTTCTTCCAACCCAAACCATTCTGTGATTTTATGAGTATAAACATGCCACTGGTGCAAGGTGACTTATGCTGCTGGGAAAACACACCTGCAGAGAGAGACTGAACTACCTAAACCTCAGACTGGAGCCACTTTCAGGTACCACCCAGCCTCAGCAGTTCCTGGAGAGGCACCCACAAATCTCCACTTTTTCACCATTTTCATTTTGCAATAACTTTTTCCCTCATTAGGAAGCTTCAGGCAACTTCCTTCTCTCCCAAGCCCCTGCTATTACATGCTTAGTCATGTCTCCTTCTTGATTCCTATCAGAGAGAACAAATTTACATGATTGTTTGTTGACAGCAAGACCTCTAATTGCATCATTTGGCTGCAGCTCCAGCTCTGATTTACACAGCCTGTTGCTGTGAGTTAGAACACTTCCCCAGCAGAGGCACACAAAGCTGGCCCCACACGGTGAATGCTCCAGTTTGTCTGGCAGGAGAAATGAGGCTGCTCAGCACAGGTGATGAGCAGCATTTGGGTGAACTGCTCCTGTCCTCTTACGAGTTTGACCTACATATTGGGCCACCTCTGATTGCAGCAGCGATGATGAATCAGTCAGGAAGGTTTTGTTTTCCTGCTCGAACTTTTTTTTGGGCAGGAGGTCTGTCTGTCCCCAGCCTTGCTGCAGCTCCCCATGGCTGTGGGTTGTCACCCCACTTGATGCTTTTAAGGCTGGACTGGAGTCAGAGGACAGACTGGTTGATGTGATGTGTTTTCATCCCTTGTGGATGAGAAAGGATCAGTCCTTTGGGTTCTGATACCATGATAATGTGCTCTGTGTTTTAGGTCTGGCCAGAATCAGACAGCTGGAGGATTCCTCCAGCATCCCTCCTGCTGCCACTGAGATGGGACATCAGCTCTGGCCTCTGAGGGCAGACACCTGACATCTTCTAAAAGCCCTAGAACCTCAGGAGAAAGTGTGGACCTCTCAAAAAATCACCCAATGGAGGGTGTCCAGAGAAGGGAACAGAGCTGGGGATGGCTCTGGAGCACCAGCAGCTGAGGCTGGTGGGGCCTCAGCCTGGAGAAAAGGAGGCTCTAGGGGAACCTTTTCATTCTCTCCAAACCCCTGGCAGAAGGGTGAAGCCAGGGATACAAACACATAAAAAGAGGAAATGGCCTCAAGGTGCCCCACAGGAAGTTTAGGTTGGATAATGGGAAAATTTCTTCCCTGGAAGGGTTGTCAAGGCTTGGGACAGCTACCCAGGGCAGTGGTGGAGTCCCCATCCCTGGAGGGATCTAAAAGCCATGTAAATGTGGCATTTGGGGACATGTTTTAGTGCTGATCATGGCAGAGCTGGGTTAATGCTTGGACACGATGATCTTATAATTCTTTTCCAACCTAAATGATTCTGTGACTGTATGAACTGAGGTCCCAGGGAGGAGAAACAGCCAAAACCACCGTGAGAAGGGCTGTGCTGAGCTTCCCCCAGGCAGGTGCGTGGTGTCTTGGTGCCACTCTGCACAGCTCCAGCAATTTCTTCACAGCAATTATTTGTCACGCCTCGCTGGCCTTAATGGTGGCAGACTTTTAACGAGAAAAAGGAGGCAATCACCGCTGTCCTGAGCTGCTTGGAGCTGCTCTTGCCCAGAATTGTGGTGGAAGAGCACAATGAGAGGGGTGAAGAAGGGATTCTGCGACAGAAACAGCTCAGGAGGTTTCAGTGGATTCTGCAAAGGTTTTAGGAAGTAGTTTGATGCTGGTTTGAAAACAAATAAAGATTTCCTAATAATTCCTCCCGGCCAAATCCCTACTTCTGTGCTGCTGTGGGGGTCGTGCTGTGGTGTGGTGTGGGGGAGCCCACCCTGCCCCAGCTCTGCCCCACTTCCCACAGCAACATAAACATTTCCATGGTGCTGCTGCACACCCTGTAGCCAACTCTCGTGCCCAGCACTGCCTCCCTTTGGCATTTAAATCCTGCACCATTTCCCAGGATTTAAACTACATCCAGTGCCGTGGCTCTGCCAGGAAGGGAAACAGCCTCATGCAGCCAACCCTGACAGCACCGGGGGGGATTTCAAGTGCAGAACTAACAGCAACAAGGCTCAGTGGAGACAGGAGAGAAACCATCAGCTTTACTTATTACCAGGGGCTGCACACATGGCTGAAAAAATGACCAGAATGTGGCAAAGCACTTCATTTTTTCCACCCAAGCAGAGGAGAGGTGGTCACAGTCAAGAGCACCAGTGCAAAATACCCAGTGATAACAGCCTGCAACACTCCATCGGCTCCTGAAGTAACACAGCCAGGGTTTTGGCTTTTTTTTTTTTTTTTTCTCCTGGGCAAATAAATAAAATGTGATATTAAATGAAAACCACATCAAACTTGTTACACTGAATAGAGTATATTGCTCATTTGCTGCTAAATTACAGCCTATTCATTTCCTCCTAAGCAGGCTATTAAGCTGTGTTGTATCACACAAGGAGTGTTTCGGAAGTGTTTTCACCGTGGGCTGGGGGAAAGGGTGGCTTGGCTTGTTTTGCTTTTTTCAGAGTAATTGCAGGGTCACACTGCTCCCCAGTACCAGTGCTGTGCCCCTGCCGAGTGACACCCTGCATGAATTTGGCCCTGAATGTTGATTTTTCCACATGCAAAGCCTGCCAAGGACCTCGTTCAGCTGCAGAGCATTTGCTGATGTCTCCTCTCCCCCAGCACTTGGCCGCTATTTATTTTTCTACAACAAATGCTGCGAGTGTTTCGAGACAGCACAAGATTTTCCACGCACAAAAATAGCCAGGGGGGCAGAAGTCAGGGCAGGTTGCATTTTCTCTGCCATCACAGAGTGTCTTTTTGGCCCCAAATGCACCCTGGCACCTCATGCTCTGCCAAGAGACCCCACACCGACCCTACAAGCAGAGGTGTTTGTAGGGGCACATACTCACATGAGGGACCAGCCCAGGTAGATGGCTGTGCTGCCCCAGTACATGGGGTTATCCAGGATGCTGAAGGGGAAGCTGGTCACTTTTTCCTCCATCAGGATGCCAAAGTAATCACCTAAGAGCAAGCAGAGAGCTTCTGGTTAGGCTCCATGAAACTGGGAGTCATGGGGGGCTTTGGCACACTGATACCCTCCCTGTGCCACGGGGCATCCCTGGCAGGGATTCACAGCCAAGGGTTTCAGCACTGACTTCCAGGCTGAGGAAACAGCAATAAATAAGTTGTTTGTTTACTCAGTGTCTATCAGCTTTTCCAGGAATGGCTCTTTGCCCACGAGGAAAGTTCCTGCATTGCAATGAGGTTGTGGCAGCCACGTCCCTCATCAGGACACAGCTCTCCAGCTCCCAACTGGTTCATTCTGGTTTTCTCATTTGTAAAATTGCCTGTCAAATGCCACACCACAAGGGAGAAAGTGCATGGGATCAAATCCATTTAATGTGAAAATAAACCCAGTGCTTTGTAATAGTGTTTGGAGCCGTTTTCATCATGACCACCACAACCAAATGCCCTCATCCATAATGTCACCCTTATCTCATAACTCAGAGAATTTCTCATAATTTCAGAAAATAGCACCTCTGCCTACAAAACACTCAGTTATTGGCACAATGATGATGATGATAATGGGTGATTGTCATCTGTAATGAGGAAAGCTTTCAGAACTGTCAGCATCCAACCAGCTTCCCATCTACCTTGGAGCAATCCTTCCACCCTCCTGAAAGGAGCTTGGGAAAGAAATGACAAGGAGGTGTGCAGCTTGTGAGCAACATTCAGAGGGGTAAAGGGCCAGGATGCAGATCTCTGGTTCTGTTGGTCTTACACGTGAGACCACGAAGCACCACATCCACATGACTTTTAAATCCCTCCACTGCCCTGGGCAGCCTGTGCCAGGGTTTGACAACCCCTTTGGTGAAGAATTTTTTTCTGACATCAAATGTAAACATCCCCTGGTACAACTTCAGGTCATTTCCTCTTGTCCCTTGCTCCCTGGGAGCAGAGCCTGATCCCTCTCTGGCTGCAGCCTCCTGTCAGGGAGTTGTGGAGAGCCAAAAGGCTCCCCCTGAACCTCCTTTTCTGCAGGCTGAGCCCCTCCCCAGCTCTTTCAGCTATTCCTGGTGCTCCAGCCCCTTGCCCAGCTCTGTGCCCTCTGCCCACTGCACCATCCATGCTCCAAGTCCACTGATCTGTGAGGAGCAGCTGGTCCTTCAGCCCAGGGCACTGCCACCACCCCAGGCTGAGCTCCCAGCTTTGCTGCTAGCCCCTTCCCTGACCTTGGGCAAGCCTCCTCTGTCCCTCCAGGTGCTATTGTGCACTGATCATAACATCAGTCTTTCTCAGAGCACAGAGGGTGGTGAGGATTAATGTATGGTGAGAAAGTGCTCACAAATCCAGATGAAAGGCATTACAGGAGTGCAAACTATTCAAGGTTATTATTATTACCTGGATCGTAGTGTTATTTCTTTGACCTCACATGGTGCTAAAACATTTATTTCTAAGGATAAACAGCCCCTGCCCAATTACACAATGCTTTTGGGTTTTAACTGCAGGCCACTAAGTGAGATAATTGCCTTGTATTCATACTATATGTTCTCACAGTTACTTGGCAATACATCTCTGAGATTGTTCTGGTAGAAAGAACACACCACCCCCTGCCACAGCCCATTTCTGTGCTTTCTTATGTGTCAAAATGCTTCATTATCCCCTGCCCGCCCTCGCCCTTGAGCTGAACACCTCATTCCCCACATGGCACTGGTGCTGAGGAGGTTCACACAAAGCCCTGGGTCCAAGGGGCTGGCAGGGGCTTATCTGTGCCCAGCACTGCTGGGGCTGTGCAACCCTCCAGGCAGGCTCCCCACGAGGAGGAGCACACAGGCAGCTCCCCAGGAGCTTTTCCAATGTAATCTCTGCCTCTAAACCTGCACAGGTCAATGAACATGACCACCAGAAAGGTGATTTCTGTGTGTTTATGTTCAGAGAGGTGCTCAGGGAGAGGTCTGTGTGTTGTGCTGCACAGCATCACCCTGGGCATCTCCTGTGCCTTCGCTGAGCTCTCAAATCAGGAATCAGCTCCTTGCCAAGCTGAGCCACTTTGGCACCTAATTGGAGCTATTTTTTGCCGGAGGTTTGTGCAGCCATCTCACTGCTCAGGGTGGGATCACAGCAGCAGAAAGCCATTCAGGGCACTCTGCAAGGTGCCCCAGAATGCCTGGAGCCTGACCTGGGCTGGAGCACCACCTCTGCTTCACCCCAGAGAGTTATCGGCTTCTCCAGGCCCAGCAACAGACTTTGGTCAAGTCAGATTGACTTGAAATCTTGGTCAGTGCTGGAAGAAATGTCACTGGGGTATGAGGCAGATGGGCTCAGACAGGCAAAGCAGCCTCCCCACGACCTCAGCTTTGAGCTAAGCCCAGCCCTCATCACTGTGTTTTTTGGGAAACAGGGCAGAAAAGGAGGGTGCTGAAGTGATGCTGAAGTGATGCCTGAATCCCAGTGAGGGCACAGCACGGAGACAGGGCACCAGGGATGGCTCTGCCAGAGAGAGGGGCCACATCCAGCTGCTGCAAACAGCATCTGGAGCTGGAGCTGCCGTGCTGGAGATGGGGTGGCACAGCCAGGCTGCTGGAGAAGGGTGACTCACGCAGCTCCCACTGCACCATTTAGCCCACACTAGAGAGACAAAGTGTTCTGCAGCTGCTCCAAAGCCCAAATGTGCTGTGAGGAAGGAATTCAACAGGAAGGCCCGTGCCCTGCCTGGTTCAGCTGTCACTTCTGTAGAAAAACCCACAAAGGGTCAAATCCAGCTCCAGTAATTTTTGAAGTGCCTGTTGTCAGAGGTTCTTTCAAAACTTCTCTCGAGCTCAGATGTCGACAGTGAGAAGAAGCTGAATTCCCTTCCTTGCCAAAGCAGTGCAGCCATTTGCTATCCTTGCTCCTCCTGCAGCACCAGGCCAGCACTAAAATCCTGCATGGATCTTGGAAGTACCAATACCTGAGAGAGTCCCGAGCAAGAGAATATCCCACATGAGATCCTCAGAGGCCTGCAGACCCGTTGTCTTCCCCTTGGCTGGGCCACAAATCACGCTGACTAAGAGTTAAGAGTTTGCTGATTTGGACTCGTGGGTCTTGTGTGGAGTGGAGAAGCTCTTACCAGTCCAAGGATGGATCCTCTGTGGGGCTCCAGTGCTGCAGAGGTCCTGAGCCAGCCTGGCTGCACTGGCATGTGCTCCTGGCATGTCCCCACCGTGACTCAGCTCTGGCCTGGTGCCTGTCATGCCTGGCTAGCAGAGAGGGCTGCTCCTCACCCTGTCAGTCCAGGGCAGTGGTGGCAGGGAGGATGGAGCAGAAATGCCTTATATGGACCACTAGCACCCACCTCTCCCCTGCCTCGGGGGATCCAGATGTGAGGGGCAGGGCCCTCTCACCTCTTACGCTGAGCCTGACTCACTTGTTTGCTTTTTCCCAGCGGTTCAAGTCCAGTGGATCCTCCTGGTCGGATGAATCAGGCTTTACGTCAACAACTCCAGATCTGGCTGAACTTCAGGAGCATTCAAGCAGCTCTTGCTGATGGGTATTCCTGTGCCTGGCCTTTCTGGAAATGTCTCCACAGGCACAACATCACTTCAGGGGCTGACAGTGATTTTGGAGGATGCTGGTGCCCGGTAGCTGAGGGACAGGGGTGTGACAGGGGGCCAGGAGTGAGGCTGCACACGGAGGGTGAGGGCACATGTTTAGGAGTGCTGAGCTCTATTTCTGGCAGAAGGATTTCGGCCAACTCAACACATTTCTTTGCAACTCCACTTGAAACCAGGAAGGCTTATTACATCCCTCTCTTCTTCCTAGCGACTCCACAGGAGCTAATTGAATTTGGTTTGTAAAGCACTTGCAAAAGCACAGCCTAAATGAGGTGTCAAAGCTGGGGCTGTGATTATTTCAGCCAGCAGGAGCTGCCCCTTTCCTTGGATATTTATTGTTCCTGTGTCTACTTTATTTTTATGAATTCCACACATACCGGCATGTTTTCAAAGTCAACAATGCTAACAGAATTACGCTGTAAATGTGAAAGCAGGCACAGTGGAAAATGCCTTCTGCCATAAAGCGGGAGATAAAAGGATCTGTCAACGAACATCAGGTTTATTGCAGAGGGGAGAGCAAACAACATCCTGCTTCAGCACGTGTGATGAGCAGGTGGTGCTCAGAGTAGGGCTGCTGGACAGCTCACACTCGCTGTGCCAGTGCCACTTGTGAGGTTTTTAATTTGGGGTCCCATTTCTGGAGGGAAAGAGCTCCTTTTTGGGCTGGCAGGTGTGCAGCTGTATTCCAAACCTCCAGGCTCGATGCTGGAGGTGATGGGATTTGCTGTATAAAACCACTGTGCCACCCCCTCTGATGTAAGAGCAGGATTGGTTCCTGCTTTGGTATCATAATGACAAATCTAACAGCCCTGAAGGCAAGGACGAGGAAAGTCCTACAGGACTGTGCCCTAGCAAGAGATCCCTGCAAGGATTAAATGCACTTTCTGGTAAAGCTGTTGGATTTTCAGTGCTTACCTAGGAAGGTCCCCGTGAATCCCAGTGCTAAGAAGCTGGAGATGACAAACAAGGTCCCTACAGCCGAGATGGCCAAGCCTGAGTAGTAGGTCCAGTGGCAGTCCCATCCCTCCAGCTTCGGCTGGCTCTTCATGGCTTCTGTGAAGCTGTTGGGGAGAAAACAAGGCCTGTTAAAAGCAGCAACTCATAATTAACGTCACTCACGTCTCCCTGGGGGATTTGGAGCTTCGGGAAGCTGCTGAGGAGGTCCCTTCTTCAGATTCCTTTTTCCACTTGGGCCTACTCAACCTCCCAATGGGAGAAGCAATCAGCTGAAGACTGTGAGGAGCCAGGGCTTGATCTGCGGCAGCTATTTCTACTCACAACCCTTGCTCCCTCCTGGAAACACCAGTCCCACTGACTTGTGATATCAAATGCTTTGTCTTATTCACCAAATCCCAGTTTTCATCCTGACTGAGAGCTCTGGGATAGACGCCCTTGCAAATGCTGGAGGCTGCGATGCCTCGGCACAGCGCATGAAGGGCTGGGAACAATTGGCTGGATTATCTCGTGCTCCCACCCCCGTTCCCCTCCATCAAAATATTTTGCAGTGTTCATGTGTTAGCCACGTGCCCAGGAGTGATTCACGGCTGGAGCCTGACAGTCAGGGGGAGGATTGGAACGGCGAGAGGAAAATCCGAGAGACGAGGTGTTCTCGCACAGCTCCTCCGCTCCAGGCTGGGGCTGGACTTTCCAAATCCTCATTTATGATTGCAATAATGGTGACCCCTCCCTTCAGCCCCCCGAGCTCTGCCCAGGGCAGGGCTTGGCAGGCTCAGCATCGCGCAGGGCTCCCACACGAACGCACGATGACAAAAGAGACAAAGCCGTGATTAAAAAAACACCATTAATAACGCGAGAGGAGATAACAGGCCCGCAGAGCTCCACACGGTGTTTCTCCACATGTTGTTGACACATGAGGTAGGAAACTTTGAGCCTTTTTTAAATGAGCACCCTGGAGGCTAAAATTCAAGTGGAATAACAGTCCTCCTGTGCCTCTGGCCACCACTGTCTGTCAGAGCCAGGAGAGTTATTCCTGCCCACAGTCCTGGGCTCCTCAGCTGCAAAGTGCTTCCATAATGCAACCTGCAGGGCTTGGGATAGCTTTTTTCCCTGGTGTCCATCTCCTCTAAGCTCTGCAAACCTCTGGGTTTTCCCTGTTGCTCAGATAAAAGCCAAGAGAGACAGTGCTGCCTACATGGCTGAAGGCCAGGCAGCTGGAAACACATCTTTCAAAGGCTTGATGGCAAGTTCATGAACCGAGCAAGCCCAGGATAATACTTAAACTCTGTGGTTTAGGAACCTGGATGATATCCTTTGTTCACTTTGAGCTTGCTCCCACTAGGCTTTCTATTGTTGAGGAGTTTTTAGGACCCCAGAACAAGACATTTAATCATCAGTTTGGATTGGAGCAAGGAAACAAAACATGGAATAAATGTAATATGCTCAGAAGTGAGCAAAACCTACATCTGGGTGATTAACACTCTGGAAATTACAGGGAAATTCCTTTTCCCAGGAGCCAAGCACAAACAGAGGGACATCAGTGTGGCCCCAGGCGATGCAGGCACAGTCCCCAGAGCTGGCCCTCCTCCAGTGCCCAGCAGAGCTCCCTGTGCTCACCAAGCTCACCCTGCCTAAGCTTAAAATCATTTCCGATGGTAAGACGCAAATCTGCTGCACCGTGATGCAGCAGCAGCTGCACAACCCTTTGCATCATCTCCGTGGTGTTTATTTTTAAATGGCACAAGTCTCCTCTACGAGGAAGCCAAAAAATCCCTGTCCCTGCTACCAGCACTGCCTGGGTTTGGGAGGAAAGCAATCCCCCTGAAGGGATGTGCCTTTCTGCTGAAAAATCCTGGCCTGGCTGTGCACTCAAAACACACCCTGACATCCCTGGGGATGCTCTGCAGCTCTTTCCTCACACAAAGGAGGATGTGCCTTTCACAGCTTGAGGGTTTGGCTCCACATCTGGCCAGGGCCTATCCAGAGGGCACCATTTTACAGCAATTTGCTGATCATCAGGGAGGTAAATCTGGGACAGCAATGCTGTGCTGGAACCCACTTGGATCCCAGGCACTGGCAAAGAGATAGCAAAGCAGAAAGAGGTAAAGCAAGAGCAAAGGCCTCAAAGCCTGCTTCTTTCTCTGGATGAGCTGGATTCACACTTTCTCACATCCTCGGGGACACCGATGACCTGACTTGGTCTCCGAATGTTAACAAAGGTGGCTTCAAGAAAATGAACTGGTTGGCTGGGAATTGGCACTGGAAGTTTTGCAACCAGCACATGGTTTGGTTTGTTTTGGCAAAGCTGTCTCTCCTGCTCCTGATGATCCCATCCTTCCCTTCCATGCTCGGATAGGTCTGCATTAGTTATTCTCATCAGCATGTCTTGCTCAGCTCCCCGCTGTTTGGCTTACAGCTAGGGAGGGAGGTGTTTGCACGGAGATAATGGACTGCCTTTCCCTCTAGGAATGGTTTATATCTTCCTAAACACACTCTCTATTTGCATTAAACACGATGCGCTCAGGAGTTTTCAGAATTAGTAAATAAACCTTTTAAGCATTTATGATGCTGGGCCGTGACAAGCAGCACGGAGCCATCAATTATTCCAACATCCACGATGGTGAGGGAGCCTCCCTGGCCGTGTTTCGCCCTCCCTGGCAGGGAAGGACAAGGTTTTGGGCATTTCCCTTGCTAGGGAGCCGGTCTCCTGAAATATGACATATTTCAGTCTGTCATGAAACCAGTCCCTTCCTCCATGTGCCTCTGAGTCACGTTGGTGACAGAATTTATTTCAGGCTCACAACAAGGCAGCGGCACAGCTCAGCATCCAAGAGGGCAGCAATTAGAGCCAGGCTTTGTCCCAGTACCTGGAACTGCATTCTGTGCCAGGCAGAGCGATTGTCATGGTGAGGAGCATCCGTCCTTCCTCCAGCACAGGGGAGGGTGGCAAAGCTGAGACCTACTTTGGTCACATCCCTGGCAGCTGTCATGAGGATGGTTGTCCCCATGGCAGGGCTTGGAAGATGCCCCCAGCTTTTGCAAAGGGAAATTAGAGTAATTTGGGGGGGTTCCCCTGACATCTCCCCACACTTGACAGATTGAAGCATGATGCCAGAGGCACATATCCTCCACTAGTTGGGAAAAGCCTAAATCCTTCAACTCTGCTCTGGCCAAACTGGCAGATTTGGCTAATTCCTGTCAGGATAGTGGTAGGCATTGTTCTGCTCACCCTTCCCAAAACCAGAGAGGTGTTTGCTCAGACACTCAGAAGTCTTATCAGTACTCCATGAGAATCCAGAATGGTTTGGGTTTGAAGGGACCTTAAAGCTCATCCTGTTCCAAACCCCTGACACGGGCAGGGACACCTTCCACTATCCCAGGTTGCTCCAAAACCCACCCAACCTGGCCTTGGACATTTCCAGGGATGGGAAAGCCACAATTTCTCTGGGCAGCCTATGTTTCCTCATAAAACATTTCCTCATAAAAAATTTCTTCCTTTTATCTAGTCTAAATCTCTCCTCTTTCTGTCTGCCATATAATATACCACATGAACTGGAAAACCACTCAAAGTGGCTCTGCACTGTGGGGATGGACATGTCACACCAGTGGGTTCACAGGAAGAAAGTGGGAGTGAGGGAAATGGGCAGCAGATCCTCTGGCTGGGACATGGACAGGACGTGCAGCCAGGTTTGCACATCAGGTGCTGATTTATTCAACCAGAAAACTTAACAAGTCACACTCCGAAACAAATCCCCAAAGGCCACACGGAGCAGGAAGAAAACACAGAAAAAATGCACTAAAAGAGAAGCTGAGGTTTCTAGGTCTTGTTGGGAGCATCTCCCAGTAGCCCCCACCAAGTGTATTTTGTCATCCCTCTCCTCCAAAGGAGGACAAAGATCTCGTCCAGCAAACTGGGTCGCCGCAGGGAGCAGCCCAGCAGTGCTCCCTGACTGATCCCAAAAACCAGCCTGGAAACTGGGGCTGATCAGCACAATTGGAGCAGAATTGGGCCAGGGGCCAGCAGGCAGCAAGGAAGCAGCAGTGGTACAGGCAACCAGGGTTTCGGTGACAACAGCCACCACTGCAAGGTGCCACAGTCACTGTGTGGAACATCGGTCTGTCCCCCATGCTGGAGGTTTTGTTCTTCTTGGCTAAAGGAGGCAACAGGGATAAAAACCATCCGGTGGTGCCCAGCAGCACAAGCTGCAACAAAAGATCTTGTTCATTAGAAAACAGCAACTTCAACAACACCGAAATCATCCTGCCAATACCACTGGCAATTGTCAGCCCGGTCATCATCCTCACAGCTTCTTTTGCCAATAATGACTTTGCTTTTCTGACAGCACTGGGGTGTGTGTGTTATTTAGGTCAGCTGGGGGCTGTGGCAGCTTCTCCCCCTGCCTTACATATGAGCTGTGAGGTTTCCTCATCAGGATGCCGTGGGCAGGAGGTGCTGTTGGCTCCCTGGGGTTTTTCCTGAACAGACATCAGATATTTCTGGCACTGCGGCTCAGAGGGGGCACCAGGTCTGACAGGCCACGCTCGATTCCCATCATCAGCCTTGGTCACTTCTGCACACAGGGCCCTGTGGTTCTGGGATCGATGCCATTTATAGCACACTCATTCATGGTGCCAGCTCACAAAATTACACAGGCCTGAGCATAGGTGAGAGGCATTACCTGGCAATGACAAACAACCCCTTTTCTGTGCAAAATCCCGTCCCAGGGCAGATTTATTTTCTTGGAAGCATCAGCTCCAAGTGAGAAATCCACACAGGAGGCAATACCCAGAGCGTGGCATCAATGCAGGACCTGATGCCAGCCTGCAGCACGAGGCTGCTGAGACACTGCCAGTGGCACTGGCTGGCACAGCCTCTGTGGGACTCACTCACACTGAGACACCCCAACAGCTGCAGCTCACCAGTCAAGGTGTGCACATGGGTGTTGCATTTAAACTCAGGCCAACATCCCAAAACCCATCAGGAGCAATGCTCAGAACCTCCCTGTGTGCCTGCCCAAGAGTGGGGAGTGTGCCAGGGTGTGCCAAAGGCAGTGCAGGGGGGTTTGGAGGCAGTGCCAGTGGCTAATTGTGAATAAACTGATGCAGGGAAAGATACCAACGTGGTGAGGGAGGAGAGAGAGATACTGGATGCCAGTTTGGAGGACAGTGAAGGTTGTCACGTCCCAAGTCACATAGATAACAGCCACAAACTGCATGCAGTTCAAAAGTTCAGGAGTTGTTTTCACAGATTAAAACCTCGGTGATGGAAGTTCCTTGCTTCTTGCAGAAAGAAACTGCTGTAATGAAAATAATCATTGCACCAAAGCAATTAAGGATGCTTGTCTTGTGCACTTGACTAAGCAGGTCCCCCCTGGTCACAGGTCAGTCTGGATTGCAAGCCAAGTCTGATAATGAAGCTGAGAGCTGGGAAGCATCTAATTGCTTAATTGAGCACAAAGACATCCCTCTTCTTACATGCAAGGGATCCTTTTGGAGCCAAGCTGGCATGAGAGCATCAGGGTGCTGGGCTGAGGAAGGATCCCAGCACAGACCCTGCGTGGGGTGGGTGGTGAAGCAGCCACACATCCTGGCTCCCAGGTGCTGTCAGCTCAAATGCCAACCCACTCCCAAAGTTCTGTCTGCTCTGCCCTCCTCTCCTCCGCCTCCAGCTCGGAGCCTTTCAAAAATTCAGCTGCAAAAAGGAAGGAGGCTTTTAAAACCAAAAGAAAACATCCCCTGGGCTCCTCATCGCTCCCTGGCAGCCCCCACCCACGTAACAAGTCCCCAGAGCACGAAAAGAGGAGTTTTAAAGGCTGGATTACAGCACTGGAGGTGGAGGGACCCCTGAGGCTGCCTTTTTGCTCACTATCAGCAGCCCTCACGCTCTGCACAAGCCGCCCTGGCCACCGTGCCAGGCACAGCCCATGCCAAGGGATGGTCTCCAAGAGGCTGAGGAGCAGAAAACCTGTTCAGAGAATAAAATGAAGGGAAAAGCAAAACAGCAAGAGCAGGTTAGACATGTCTCTCCCAGCATCACTGCTCACTGACATGGCAGTGACTGTGTCATACAAAGCCTCTCTGCTCAGTGGAACCCTGGGCTGGACATGGCTGGTACCATCCTGCAAGGGTAAGGGGCAGGATGAGTCCTTGCCAAGCAGCAAAAGCGCTCCAGGCTGGAGCAATAAGCCTTGGGCAGCTCTGGAGGACTCACTGAGCTGGGAATGGAGGCAGAGAGGCTCCCAGGTGTGTTTTGGGATAACTCCAGCAGCTGCTGCTCTGATGATCACCCTGGAACCACCCAATCCATCCCACAGTTAAGGGCTTGCCTTGCCAGAAGAGCCTCCAAAGCCTGCTAGCCATCACTCAGGCCAACTTTAGCACCAAGGAAAGGGGAGGGAATAACCCAACCATATGGAAACATTCGAGCAAAAGAAACTTTCCATTGCAATAATTTGAAAGGCTTTGGCCCATCAGGATGGGCTCTCAGTGTTTTCTGCTGGGGCTGAGCTGCCCCATCTTCTAGAGCCTCTCCTCCAAACCCAAGGTCCACAGTGGGGCTTTTCCCTGGATCCACCTTGCTGTTTCCTTCAGGGCCCAACTATTGGGCTGCACAGGCAGAGGCAAACTCAGTGAGCCCCACAGTCTCCACAGAGCAGAGCCAGCCCTGGTGGGGCTCTGAGGGCTCTGCAGGGGCAAAGTGTGACGCAGTGCCAGGACACACGAGGCCACTTTGGCTCTCCCAGCAGTTCCCTCTCAGTGCCTTGCTGTGACCCACCAGCCTCGCTGACCCAGGAGCCAGCAGGACCACTGGAAATGAAGATTGTCCCTCCACCAGCTGTGTTTTTAATTAAAGGCAAGGACAAGGTTCTGCATTGCTTTCCAGACAACAAGCGACTATGTAATTTGTGCAAGAGACTGTCGAGACATTCTCCAGCAAAATCCAATCCTGCTGTGTCACTAAGACATCAGCAGCACACACACATGCCCTCTGCATTCGATTATAGCCTTGTTCACTGCAAGCTTTCTTTAGTTTCTGCCATCAGCAGTGGCTGGGACAAACACAGAAGGGCAAGGGCAGGTCCTGGTGTCATTTCCAGGAAAGCAGAGCTCTTAAATACATGTGCAAATTCCAACCTGAGAACTCTTCACCTGGGAAATTACCCAGAGTACTAAACAACCCATTAGCTGTGACCCTGGTATAATTGAATCTGGGAATTTAGTGAGTCTGCTTCTCCTAACAGCAGTGGAGATAAAGCCAACCAGATCACAGATAAATTGCTGGCATTGAGGAAATCTTCTGCAGTAAAACCTCTCAGCTGCACTGGGAACTTAAAGGACATATTCCCATGGAGTATGGTGTATCAGTCATACAATACCATTAGCTAGCACAGGTAGTGTTTAGAGATGGCAGATAAGAGTTTCAAGTGAATGATTGTTAAGTGTACAGGTAATCCTGCTCTTCTGCACAGGAAACTGCGGCTTCTTAAAAGCAGCTTTAATTTTGTTTATGATTTTTACAAGAAGATTTTAAAATTCTGCTGTTACATATGATCCACCCTGTGTAAACAGCCCTGCCACCTGGGCTGCTCACAGGAGAGAGGAAACATCCCCAGGGAGCAGAGCAAGGTAACCTGTGACACTTAACAACCAGTGAAACTGATGGGTTTGCCATGCTGCTGCATCCCTCACCTTTATTACAAATCCTGGAATAAATCTGCCGCTGGCTGAAGTTATCCAACCATGGAAAAGCAATACGCTGGGGTTAGATTTAACACTGCTGAGCAAATGTCCCTTTTCCCCCTCACTCTGGAGGGGCATTTTTTGCATGGATATACAGCAGCAGGGTGAGCTCCTTACCAGTGGCTCCGCACACAGTTCAGCACCAGGATCACAGCACCCAGGCAGTAACAGGCAGCATGGGGAGAGCCGAAGACTTGGCTGAGTGCTCGTGTTTTGTGCTCCCATCTGGCTACCTGGAGAGACAAGGGAAAACAAAGTGGGTGGTTGGGGTGCCTGGAACACGCTGCCCCAGGAGCACAAATCCCACAGCCTTGGCCTGACACGCTCAGAACACTTTGTCTGGGTGGTTTTCTGAAGAAACAAGTGGAGGCCACTGATGGGACATGGCTGAATCAAGCCTGGGGATGGGAGCTCTTTCTCCCACCTCTGCCAGACCCTGCTCACATTGCATGTGCCCTTGCACACGAGGTCAGCCAGCAGCATCAAAAAAAAGAGGCTCAAACGGGCTCAACAGGCTCAAATAAAAAGGGAAAAAAACCAGAAAATATCCTACCCTTCAGTTTTATGAAATACAAGGCTTAGACCTGTCACCAACAAGGCTGAGTGAATTGCTAAGGCTGTCCCCTGGCCACCAGAAACATGAGGCCCCTGCCATGGATCCTAATATTGCTCTCCTGAAAGGAAAACAGATCCTTGAGTAGGGGATGCAACATAGGGATGCTCAGCTCTCATTTTCTGGGCTGTAGCATCTCCCACAATGAGTCTCAGGGACCACACCTGCCAGGAACAACCCCTCCCTCTGCACATCCAAAAAAGTTTGCAAGCCCTCCCTCAAGCTTCCCCAAGACAATATCTGCCAGCTTTGCCCAGAGAACTGCTTCCACTTTAACCAGCTCAGCCTTCATTAGCACTCAGCAATTGTAGCCGTTCAGGTTTAGTCTGCCCTCCTCACCCACCCCAGCCTGGCAGTGACAGCCCAGGACTCACACAGCCACACAGCGTCCCTGGGGAGGTGTTAGCATCCTTCAAGCACACTTTTCCCTGGTTCCCATGTTCAGCTCCCTGCTCTGCAGATGCCGATGGTCCCCTTCCCAAACCGCCCCACAGACGAGAAGGTGCCCTCTCACCCTGGGAGGCTGCTGCACGCAGGTGTTTGGAGCTGCTCCCAAAATCTGCAGGATCAGATCCACCCCAGTCACCAAACCCAGGCCTGGCACTCCCAGCTGATAAAAATCCTTACAGCTACTTTATTCTCTACCTTTCCTGCATCCCTCGGAAAGCTGCCGCTATATTTATCGCCTCTCTCAGGCTCCACTTTCAGGCACCAAGCTGGAGGTTTGGATCAGACATCAGACCTGAAATTCCAGCCAAGGAGAGAGAGCACACCTGGGCAATGAAGCAGGAAGTGGGAGTCAGCAGAACATCTCAGCACCAATTTGTTTCTCAGACATGGCTGGCACTTGATTAGCTTCAAATGCGCTTCACTCCCTCGCACAGAGCCTGGGCATCTTTCAGGGGCACCTGCAACCCAGCTCTTCATCTACTCTGAATGTATTTGGTAATTTATTGGCTCAATTTGAGCAGAAAAAGGCAGCTTTGCAGGTCTCGCTTTCTTCCCAGGCTGTTGCAGAAGCACAAAATGCTGCTGGTGGAGGGGGACTGCTGGCTTCAGGAGGGGGGAACGATGAAAACCTCTGATAAGCAGGGGCACTGATTTCACATGCTGAGAGCTGATTCAATTAGTTATGCAATGATTGCTCTGAAATTACAAATCCACTCATGACAGAGAGAGCTGCTTCACTGCCTTTTTCTGGCTGGTATAAATAGTTTGTATTCTAAATTGAATTTAAAACACCGTGCGTCACGCTGCTGCTAAAATCGGAGCTGCTGTTTGAGCTCTGAGAAAGTGGAAAAAGAAATATAAGGTGCATTACCACCTTTAGAAAGTAAAAAGAAGTGACCATACAGGTGACTTGAGTCACAGATGGAAAAATGCAGCCACGTGCCAATTATCTGTACCAGCTTCCTAATTCCCTGGAAATTATTCTGGCAGTGTTTGCACGGATGGCAGCTCCTGGCTTGCTCAGGGAGATTTGAAGAGCATCTCAGCAGCAGCAGAGCTGAAGGAAAAGGAGAAGGCAGAGCCGCTGGGATCAGAGGGAAGAGCTGGTGTGCTTCTGGGAGCCAGGGAGGCGGTCAGTGTAATTACCCTCACCTTTAGAAAGGCACATCTGGGATGAGGGGCCGTGCTCCCGAGCCCTTCAGGCAGCAGCTGCCACGGCTGGGATGGGATCAGTCCCAGCACAGCCCAGTTTGTGCTGCACCACACAGCTGGGACTGAGATGCCAACTCTTATTTAGCTGTCACAGCCATCAGATGGGACCCCAGGCTCCTTTTCAAGCCCACACAGGAGCCATCCCAAGCAAAGCTGGGAGCCAGCATGGGGCTGGAAGCGGCAGCACCCACCGGGCCCTGCGGCGATATTTCAGTAACAATTAATTAGTTCCGGTTCTGGTTCTATTGCTTGAACAACTAATTAGTTCCGGCTTGGTTCTAATTTTCTAATTTTAGTCATTTTGAGCTAATATTAGCGCTCGATCGACCCACAGCTACGCAGCTGCCTTAAAGGCTTTATAAAATCATGAGCCGACGTGTTATTCTTTACTGTATGATGGATGCAAAATGCTTCCAGCATCTTCCACGGCCGTGTGTGGGACAGAGCAGGGCTGAGACCAGAAGTTTCCCAGGAGGCTGCACCCATTCCTGGTGTGCTGTTTGCCCTCCCACCTAAGGTGGGCACTGTGCTGACCATGGGCAAGCCCCATGTCAGGGCTGTGTGTCCTGGAAAAGCAGAGAGAAGAGCATTTTTATTTTTCTTCCAACTCCATGCTTGGAAATGGAGTTAATACAAAGTTTCCTGATTTACTCAAGGGTCAAAACAATAGAAAAAATTCCTCTTCCAAAGCTCCTAGCACTCTGCTTTCACTTTAGGATACTTGGTGAGGGCTGCAAGTAATTTTTTTAATGTTTCCCCCAGTGCTCGTTATTGAAATAAATCAACAAACGGATGTGGCTGCAAAGCCAGGGATGCTCTTGGGTCCCATGTTCTGCCTTTGGCAGGCCATTCTGGGGGCAGGCTCAGCTGGCTGATGTTCCCAGGGAATTGCTTCCTTCTAGACGTAAATTTGGGGCTGATTTCTACGTAACCGATCCAAGACATTTCCCCAACCACTCGGGCAAGTGCGTAAACAAAAATGAAAGTGCAGGCACACATCCCCAGTGCCTGCCCTGATGGAAAATGGAAATGCTCTGCGTTTCTTTCTCCTTTTTTTGGGTAGGCAAACCACGAGCCACCTCGAGAAATGCCACAAATAACCATTCAAAAAGCAATTTCATCTCACGAAGCTGCCTCCGCAGTGATCAACGGGAAATGCTCTTTCCAGCTCTGTGTGCATGGCAGACCATGGCCTCTCATTAATATTTAGTATTTGTTTGAAGGAAATTGATTCTTTTTGTCTGCCATCCAGGGAAGCTGCCTTCTGAACACGCTACATTTTAATTGCTCAGTCCCAGCTCTGAATTAGAGCCTTTGTGCTGTTTCATGTGACTCCATTGCTATATCTGGCTTGCCCCAGAGATGGGCAAGGAAACCAGATAGCCCAAAGGCTCAGGACAAAGGGACACCTTGCATCTTTATGCAAATCAGTCAGTTTATGTCCTCACATTGCCCCATCACCATGGTAGCCAAAGAAAAACGTGCAGGGACTGGAGAATTTAACCTTGTGGCACTCCTGGGAGCCTGGGATGGATTAGCAGCTCCTTTCAAATCAAGGGAAACTGAGGCACGGCAGGATTGAGGTGAAAGTCTGCTTCCCAGCTCTCCAGGGAGGAAGGTAGAGAGGCTCTGTCTACATTTTGCAAAATCCTATCATCCACCCGGGGAGATGCTCTGCACTTTTCTTGGGATGCCCTTGCCCAGACAAACTGTTGACATGGAAATATTCAGTGTCCAAGTCTGGGATGGAGAAAAGATGACAGTGAACAGGATGTCCTCCCTTCACACACCCATCTCACATGAAGGATTTTCCCTATCCTATGGGGTCTAGGAAACCTGCTGAGGGGTTCATAAGTCAGAAATTCCATGAAAAGTGCAGAGGAAGAACAATGAGCTCTCCAGGGTACATCTGAGCCCCAACTCAATAAAAACCTTCAGACAAAACTGACCCGAGCAAATTTATTTTCATAGAATCATGGAGTGGTTTGGGTTGGAAGGGACCTTAAACTCATCTCATTCCACCCCCTGCCATGGGCAGCAACACCTTCCACTATCCCAGCCTGCTCCAACCTGGCCTTGGACACTCCCAGGGATGGGGCAGCCACAGCTTCTCTGGGCAACCTGAGCCAGGGCCTCACCATCCTTATTGTAAGAAATTTCTTCCAACAGAATAAATTTCTCCTTCAGTCTGATCTCTCCCAGGCCAGCCATGGGGTAAGTTCTCCTCATGGGGTGCTAGGGCAGGAAAATCCCTGACTCTGGGCTTAGGTGGTTCCATGTGAGCATCTCCCACTGGGAAAGACATGCCCCAGCTGGCTCCTGACCTGCTGAAAGAGCACAAAACCTGATATTACCCTTATTTCACCCACAGAGACCAGAGGCATTGACCTGTTCCTGTTATGAAAAATCCATTTTTCCCTTTCTGATTCCCTGTAATCCCTCATTAAAGCATAAGGACATTCTCTGCTCTCTGTCACTGCTTGGATGCTGGAAAACAACCCTGCTCACAGCCATTACATTTATCTAAAGACAGGTAGGAAAAATATATACCTGAGCACCCAGGGCCTGGCTGTGGTGCTCCCAGGAGCAGGCAGGGAAGCAGAGCTGGCTGGAATGGAAATGCAAGCACTGGGGCTGGCTGACCTTTGCCAAATGCCAGAGGAGCCAGCCTTTCTGGCTGTCCCAAGTGGCTGTGGAGGAAATGAGTGTGGCCTGACCTTATCCCTCCTAACTCGGTGCTGGAGCTCTGCTGCAGCCAGCAGCGCTCAGTGCAGTGCCAAAGGGGAGCACCAATGGCTCCAGGTGAACACTGTGGCCAGGCTGAAAGCCTGCATCACTTTGACTGAGTGTGTCCCTTCTAGGTGAGGAAAATTTCCAAGAAGCTGCAAAGCTTAGGAGAGACAGGAGGGGAAACTGCAGGGCTGCTCCTGGGGAGGATCGTGCATGGCCACCCCATGG